TTTGAGTGACTTTTGATGGTATCAGAAGCAGCTGAGAGGCCAAGCAAAGCAGGGATAGACACATTGCCTCTTCCTGCTCCTACTAGATATAATAAAAAAACAGGACCAATGCTGTTTCTGTCCCATTGACTGAAAGGGGTCCAGATAATCTGTTTCCTCCAGGATCCTCTGGAGCTGCAGCACAACCAATTTCTCCAGCATGACGAGTGGAGAATCCACCAGTGGGTAATGCTTGTCTTCTGCCCATAGACTAAGTCAGCCAATTTTGCTCCGCCTCTTCCTGGGACCTCCATTCCCCAGTTCTCGACTTAGTCTCAGCCCGTTCAGACTGTTATTTCTGGATCCAGAGGCAATTATTTGAATCAGGTCGTATTTTTCTTTCATTTTCGTTACTTCGTGTCAAAGGGAGGGAGAGGGAGAAGGACGAACAGCTGTTCGCTTTCTTCTCTTAGCCGGGCGATTGCAGTGCTAAGAGGACAGCCGATCGATCAGACTAAACAAAGAGCCGGGGCACCATTTTAGTTGACCACCCAGTGAGCTCTAGGGTGTGGGGAAGGCCTTTGTTTACCTTGAGAGCCCCCCCCCCCAGCATCTCTCTTCCTCTCTAGAGTTCCTTCTCAAGGGAGCAGCAGAGCTTCCTTGGGGTTTTCCCTTTTTTCTAGCATTCGGCTTTTCTCCATAGCCGGCTGATCCACGGGGGACTGTTAGATCTCTGTGGCTTTTCCAACAGTTTTTGAGCTGCGGAGAGCTGATAGATCTTCCGTAGGCATTTCCAAGCCCAGCTGAGCCGCGGAGAGTGAGACGCCTCATAGGGCTTTCCCCGGTGATCAGCCAGGCTGCGGAAATTGATACAGCTCACAGGGGTTTCCCTGGAGATCAGCTGTGCTGCGGAGAGTGTAGAAATCACCCAGTTACTTTTACCGAAGCTCTGTCGGCCAGTGGAGTGTTTGAATTCACCGCGCAGCTCCTCTGAGAGCCCAGCCAATAGGTGGGTGCAACCGGGCCCTGCCAGCCTTCCGACAATCAGCTGAGCCACGGAGAGTGATCAGAGGCCTCTCGGTCGCCATTTTTTTCTCCTTGTGTCTCCTTTTTTTTTTTTTTTTGCAGACAAGGGAAAGGAAGACAGTAAGCAGACCGCTCTCCTTTTTTCTCTCAGGGCAGTTGGCAGCAGCGTCCCCTTCCTCCTTCCTAGCAAAGCCCCTCCCTTTAAAAAAAAATCAAAAATTTTCTATCAAACAATCAAATATCTCTTTGAAGGAGGGGCAGTCAGGAACCGGTCAAATTCAATCCATTGTTTTCCTGAACTAAACCTGCTTAAGGCCTTTATTGAGATTTCTCCCAGTTTTTTGAATTGGGATATCTCTCTCTGCCAATGGCAGACACAAATGCTGCCCAATCAATGCAGGAATCCTCCATAAGCCCTCCTGGGCGCAAGAGGCCAAGATCATCTAACCAGGAGGCGGCGGGCAGAATCAAGGCCAAAGCAATCTCTGGGAAAAGGTCTTCTAAGGCAGCGGATAAGGAGGCCAAGCGTAGACACCAGGCCCTGGAAAAACAGTTTTCTAGGGCTGAAAAGAGGCAAGCCACAGCAGAGGACGGCCTAGACCCACCTAATTACAAAGAGGAGGAAATATTTGGTCCGAGGAAGCCTGGTCAGGAACCTCTGGAAACAGGCTGACGTAGTACAGGCAATTGAATCCCCTCTTTGTGAAAGGCCCGAAGGCCCGGGGACAATGACAGGTTTCCAATAAGCATTGTCATCGGAATATTTACAATCTCTGATATCTCAGGCCATCGCTCAGGCCATGGCCTCTTCAAGACACCATTGTTCCAGAACCGGGTCCATGGTTTCAAGAGGCCGTTCCCTCCTCTCGTAAGAGGAAGCCTCTGTGTACCACGAATCAATCTCTCCTTCTCGATCTTCCAAAGGCAGGAAGTCTCCTGCAGAGGACTATGAGCAGTCAGATCAGGGACTATCAGAGGATGGTGACATATCCCCAGACCTTCCACCGTTCATGGGTCTATTTAACTCACCCTGTTCAAGTCCTTACTTCACAAGGCCAGCAGCACTGCCAAGATTGAAAGACCCTTGATCCCTCAGGAGGGACCTTCAACTAGTCAGGTCACAAACAACGAGGTGTTTTCTCAACCCACCTACACACAGCAATTTATTCCCTGTCCTCTCTTTTTTGATTCAATCCAGAATAATATGGGGACACTGGGATCCTTTCCTCCGATGGGGGGAATAGACAAGAAGCTGTTCAATATAGACCCTGGCCTAGCGGTAATAGAGGTTCCGAAGGTAGATGAGCCCATAGCTGCACTTTTTTCCCCATGGTAACCGGAGACTCAGCAGAGGTCCTGAAATCTGAGGATTGGAAGGCGGATCTCACCTTCCGCAGGGCACACCAAGCCTCGGCGTGGGCGATCAAGGCATCTATTTCTAATTCCTTTTTTGCTAGGACTACGTTACTTTGGCTCCGCCAGCTCCAGGCGAGAATTTCCCGGGACGAGGAGAGAACCCACCAGGACTTAAGAAGGTTAGTGGCGGCAACGGAATTTCTGGCAGATTCCTCCTTACACGGGGCAAACTATTTTGCAAGGGCAATTTCACAAAACACTGTTGCTCGTAGATTGCTGTGGCTCAAGCAATGGCAAGCCGACATCAAGTCAAAGTGGCGGTTGGCAGCAGTACCCTACTAGGGCGGCAAGCTTTTTGGTGAGGCTCTTCACCCTTATCTGGTAGAAAACAAGGATAAATGCAAGGTGTTGGTCCACCAGTCCAAAAGAACGAAGAAGAGAGTCTCTTCCTTCCCTCCCAGGCTGTCCTTTCGATTTGAAGTAGGCCCAGAGCAGAACTCTTTTTCGTGTCCCTATCAACCCAGATCAGACCGACAGGGCGATAGACCAGGCAGCAGAGACACGTTTAGGCAACAATTCCAGTCAAAGCAGCCTTTTTGCGGAGGGCCCCCCACCCTTTCACAAATCCAAGTGATGGCGGGGAGGACTCCTCTATTAGTGGCAGGCGGGCTCTCTTCTCACACAAATGGCAGGCCACCATCATGGACCTTTGGGTCTTAAACACTGTCAGATTCGGCTTCTCACTGGAATTCATCTCCAAACCCCCGAACCAATTCATGCCTTGCCCACTGTCAAGGGATCCAACCAAAAAGCGGCTCCTCAGGGAGGCCATCCTGCACCTTCTGGACATCCAGGCGATAGAGCCGGTGCAGAAGGAGCAACAGGACAGGGGTAATACTCCATATTATTTTTAGTCCCCAAAAGTTCAGGGGGGGGTGGAGGGCAATTCTAGATCTAAAAAATCTTAACCTGGCATACAGGAGGTTCAAGATGCAGACTCTTCAGTCAATCTTAGCGAGTGTCAGAAAGGAAGATTTTCTGACATCCATAGATCTGACGGAGGCCTACCTTCACATCACAATTCTGCCAGAGCACCAAAGGTTTCTCAGGTTCTGCCTCGCATTGTAGCATTATCAATACAGAGCTCTTCCCTTCGGCCTGTCCTCGGCCCCCAGAGTATTCACAAAGGTTCTGGCGACCCTCGCTGCACACCTGCGGACAAATCCGGTGCTCATCCAGTGCTACTTGGACGACATTCTCATTCAGTCCTCATCAGTTTAGGCGGCAAAGGCAGATATAGCATTGACCCTACAGGTTCTTCAGAACCATGGGTTCTCAATAAACTTTCAGAAGAGTCAAACGGTCCCATTGACCCGTCTTCTTCATTTCGGAGCAGTAATAGACACATTAAGGTGCGAGGTCTACCTCTCTCGACAACGCAGGAACAGCATTCAAGCCCTGGTCAGGCTAATCCGAAGAAGGCGAACCATCACACTGGGCATGCTCTCCAGTTTACTAGGGAAGATGATATCATTCATAGCGATCGTGCCGTGGGCATGGCTACACTCCAGAGACTTGCAATGGTTCCTACTCCCATTCCAGAAAGAGGGAAATGGCGCCTCCAACCAAAAGGTGAAGGTACCACCAGGCATCATAAATTCGCTAAAGTGGTTGTCTCCAGCCATGAGAAGGGGACACATGTTAAAGGAGACCATCTGAGTCACCCTGACCACAGACGCCAGCCTATTCGGTTGGGGAGCACATCTTCAATCCAAGTTGGCACAGGGCCAATGGTCCAAGGGGGACTTGAAACACAACATAAACTGGTTGGAGCTCAGAGCCGTACATGTGGCTCTCCGTCCTTTTCACAGCGCAGTGATGGATCAACACGTTCTAGTGCTCATGGACAATGTGGCGGCCAAAGCCCACATCAACCGACGGGCACGCGGTCGAGGGCCCTCATGACTGAGGCCAAATCGCTGGGAACCTGGGCCGAGAACAACCTAGCCTCTTTCAGGGCAGAGCACATATCAGGAGAAGCAAATCAACAGGCAGGTTCTCTGAGCAGGGGAACAATAGACCACTCAGAGTTGAGCCTACATCCTACTCTCTTCAGGGAAGCATTAGCCTGGTTCAGTCACCTAGTACTGGACCTGTTTGCCAGCTCCAAGAATGCTCAGCTCCCAAGATTCTTCTCCCGCTTCCCGTCTCCAGGAGCGGAGAGAGCAGATGCCCTCCAGGAACATTGGCTGGAGGGGTTACTATATGCCTTCCCTCAATTTCTTCTGATTCAGGCAACCATCAGGAAGATATTGCAGGAACAAGCAGAAGTGATACTCATTGCACCGCACTGGCCAAGATGGCCAGGGTTTGCCGATCTCGTAAGTCTTTCTGCATCCCCACCATGGAGGATTCCGACAATCAAATCTCCCTCGGTCAGGGGGCGCTACTTCACCCAGAACCACAGTGGCTCCAATTAACTGCCTGGCACTTGAGTGAAGCCTCCTAGAAAGGGAAAGCTTTTCACAGAGAGTCATTAGGACACTTCTGGCCTCAAGAAGGTCCTCAACTAACAGAATTTACGACTCCATTTGGAGAAATTATTACAGCTGGTGCACAAGGCAGCAGCTAGACCTTAGTATTTCTATCCTGAGAATCTTAGACTTAGACTACCTAGTGGAGGGTCTGGACAAGGGCTTGGCACCAAACACAATTCGTAGGCAGGTGGCCACCCTATCCTCTATCTTTACATATGGCAACTCTGAACCATTAGCCAAACACCCGGCAGTACAGGTTTTCATTAAGGGCACAACAAACAGCAGACCACCCGTGATACACAGATATCCCTCCTAGGACCTGTCCAAGGTAGTGATGATGATGATGATGATGATGATGATGATAAAGTTGGAAGGGACCTTGGAGGTCATCTAGTCCGACTCCCTGCTCAGGCAGGAAACCCTATACTATTTTGGACAAATGGATGTCCAGTTTCTTCTTAAAAACTTCCAGTGTTAGAGCATTCACTGCTTCTGGAGGCAGCTTGTTCTACTGGCGACACTGGGGAAGAAATCTTGCTTGTATTTAGCTTAAGTTCTGTTGATGAATTGTCTCTTTCAGGATCATCTTTCCCGTCCCTATCAGCCCAGATCAGATTGACAGGGCGATAGACCAGGCAGCAGGGACAGATTTAGGCAGCAATTCCAGTCAAAGCGGCCTTTTCGCGGAGGGGGGCCTGCCCCTTTCACAAATCCAAGTGACGGCGGGGAGGACTCCTGCATTGGTCCTGCAAGCCATTACCTCACCCCCATTTGAACCTGTCAGGACATGCACATTACAATTTTTGACCCTTAAGATCGCATTCCTGATTGCAGTCACCTCAGCTAGGCGCATTTCAGAGTTGGCAACACTATCAGTTAGAGAGGATCTCTGTACCTTCCACACGGACAGGGTGGTCCTACAATTAGACCCCTCCTTCATTCCCAAGATTAACTCCCTGTTTCACAGAACACAGGAGGTGGTGCTACCAGATTTTTGCCCTCAGTCCTCCCATGAATTGGAGCACAAATGGCACACCTTAGACGTTCAGAGGGCCTTAAGGCAATACATTAAGCGAATGGCACCCTTCCATAAGTCGGAGGCCCTGTTTGTTTCCTTCCACTCACACTCAAGGGGTCAAAAGGTCACAGCTTCCACAATCTGTAGATGGATCAGGAAGTGCATAGCAGTTGCGTACCAGGGACAGTCGCTAGTAGCCCCCAGACAAATCACCGCACACTCCACTCACAGCACTGCCACCTCAGCAGCGTGGGCGACTCAGGCACCGATTGAGGAAATATGTAGGGCGGCGACATGGGCGTTGCCTTCCCCCTTCATAAGACACTACAAGTTAGATAGGTTTGCATCTGCGGAGGCCTCATTTGGCAGGACGGTCCTCCAGTGCGTAGTACCAGAAAGTGGGACACAGGCCCAGACTGCTCCCCACCCACAGGGACAGTGAGGCTTTGGTATGTCCCATTGGTGGATTCTCCACTCGTCATGCTGGAGAAGGGGCCTTGTCTTACCTGAACACCTTTTCTCAGCATGACGATGGAAAATCTACTCCCACCCTTAGGGCCAGTCAGGTCCGGTACAGGGAAGAGGATTGAGCCAACAAACAAAATCTTAGTCAGCAACTTCGCCTCAGTCGAGAAATGGGGAATGGAGGTCCCAGGAAGAGGCAGAGCAAAATTGGCTGACTTAATTTATGGGCAGAAGACAAGCATAACCCATTTGGTGGATTCTCCATCATCATGCTGAGAAAAGGCGTTCAGGTAAGACAACACCCCTTCTCTACTGTTCTGCTATAAAGAATAAACATTAGAGTAGGATCTATCAATGATTTCTAAAGGGGATGAAGGGGGAAAACTATAATCTCCAGACCCCCACCTAGGAAGACTCGGTGAGCAGACTTCTGCCTTAACTCTTACCTAGAATATTGTTCTGCACAATTTTTGCCAGTCTAAGCATTAGCCCATTTTATATAATACTGCCTTGTCCGCTGGCTCTCATGGTTAGATAACTTTGTTGTACAGTCTACACATTTTGTAATATATAAATACGTTATAATGTGTATTAACACATTATTTTTTGGACTCATACTTTCTTCTTCCAGGCATTATTTTTAGTTGGGAAAAAAAACAGGAAACAAAGTTTCTTGATTTAAACTAATCAGAATTTTCACTTTCTCCAAATGTGAATGAGAGGGAAGATTATTCAAACCAAGATCAGGCTCTGGATTATATTGTATGCTTGAATTTAAACCATGCTTTAAATAATTTCAGGTACATCATTTTGAGAGAATTTGAAAATGTTTTTGGTTTTACCTAAGTCATATCCTTTTCATGATTCCACATTACAGGAGAGGAGGAATGTGCAAAGCCATCAGATTTCCCACTGTCAGTACATTTAAATTAAAAATACAGAACGACTTTTGTCTGTTTTGCTGAAATGGCAATCTTTAAAATTCATCCTCTGAAGTATGCTTCTTAGAACCCCAGTTTAATCCAGATTGATGATTGATTTTGTGCCATCAAATCAACTCCTAACCACATAGATTTTGTCCATGACATGACAATCTATCCCTAATCTGTTCTTTTAGCAGTTGTTTAATTTGGAGATTGGTTCAACATTGTATCAAGCATTACTTTGTTCTCCAATAAACATTTTGTCCAAATCATTATTTATTGTCTCCCATTATACCAGTTTTCAGCAAGCTATGTTTCTAGTACTCCAAGTCTTTAAAAAAATAATAGAGATATGTCATAAAACATGGAGCATGCAATTATTTTTCCCTCATCTTATAGATATTACTTCTAGAAACAGCAATGCTAAACAACAAAGTTGAAGAGTAAATTTTAAAATAGCAATGGTGTATTGTAGAAAAATGTCTTGGTCTCTTGTCTGAAAGATTTCCGCAAATACTGCAAAAACAAAAACAGTTCAAGTCTAACAATTGATTATTGAAAGAAAATATAGTTAATATTCTTTTTATGTCAAGGAGTTATAATGAACTTCTTCTCTGGCATAAAGTAACTGACAAGAGAGAGACAGGGGCCCATCCAACAAGTAAATAGACAAACAAATGAAGGGTCAGTTAGGTATTGCTGTTGAAAACAGGCGACACTGGAGAAGAAATCTTGCTTGTATTTAGCTTAAGTTCTGTTGATGAATTGTCTCTTTCAGGATGGTGAAGACTTAATGGATGAGAGTGTATTGAAATTCTACACTCAACAATGGGAGGATTATCGATTTTCAAGCAAAGTGCTGAATGGGATTTGTGCCTATCTCAATCGGCACTGGGTTCGTCGTGAATGTGATGAGGGCCGGAAGGGAATATATGAAATTTATTCAGTAAGTTGTTATAAAGAATAATTATTTTCAGTGGAAAAAATGGCCTTTTTGTTTTGAAGGGAGAGATAAAATGTGTGGGTTGCTTTCTTTTTTGATCCACTTGTCTTCTCTTTTGCTTAAATTTTTCTCCTGCCTATAGGCAACCTAAAATAAACTTCTGCATATCAGGTATATAAAGTCATATTTTACTTTCAGATCAAAGATAAGCAAAGGGAAATCCATACTTTAATTTCAGATCAAAATAAAAATAGGGATAAAAATGTCAAGTTATGAATTGAATAGAGCTAAATAGTTGCTTGCTGGACCAAGAACTCTGTTTTATTATTATATGATGTAAAATGAAGAACTTCATATTTAATTTTAGGTGGAAAGAGAGAATACATTTCTTCCATCTCTAAATGCTAGATGACATCATAGGGCAGTGATGGCGAACCTTTTAGAGACCAAGTGCCCAAACTGCAACCCAAAACCCACTTATGTATCACCGGGTGCCGGGTGGGCGTGACCCACTGGGTGGGTGTGGCTACAGTAGTCATGGCAGACTGGGTGGGCATGGCCACCTCAATATTGCTCCTGGGGAGGGATGCCTGCGGGGGCCAGGTAGGGTTGGGGGAAATCAAGGGGGTCTCTGGCAGGTGGGGCAGTGGGCAAGAGGCTCATCCTGCAGGGTGAGGTGAGGGAGGTGGCAGGGTGGGGGTGCCATTGCTGTGGGGCAAGGCTAGGCAGGGGCCAGGGCAGGGGCTGGTTGCAGAAAAAGGGCAGCTTCAGTGAGGAAGAGGAGGAGGAAGTTTAAGCAAGTTTAGCAGCCGGAGTGGGAGATCCCCCCCAAAAAAAAACAAACGTGCTTCGTGGGTAATTTCAAAGCACAACAGAAAAGACCAAAACCTGCTGCAACCACCCAGGAGATGGGAGGGGAATAAAAACCACACAGCCCCCCCCCCCCGGCAATCCTCAACAGAAGTGCTCACAACAACAAAAGCCTCAGACAGGGATAGGGGGAAGAGTGTGGGCAGATGGGCATCTTGCTCAGCTGTTGCTGCTGCTTCTTCTTCTTCTTCTTCTTCTTCTTCTTCTTCTTCTTCTTCTTCTTCTTCTTCTTCTTCTTCTTCTTCTTCTTCTTCTTCTTCTTATTATTATTATTATTATTATTATTATTATTATTATTATTATTATTATTATTACTTTAAACACTGCCCTCTCACAAAAGTAGGATGAAAACTCCAAAAAGCAACAAGGAGAAAAAGTTAAAAGAGAAGAGTGTCTTGTGATGGTTTTCTTCCCCTCTTCCTTCTAGCTGCAGTTTAAATATGTAAAGACCACAAAAGAAATAATTTGACTTTCTCTCGTTTTAATTCAGAAGGCAGGAACAGGAGAATTGGGGGGGGGTTGTTTGTTCAAAGGAAGGGAGGAATGCTTGGCAGGCAACTTCTCCCCGGCCCCTGGATGAGGTAAAAGGAGCCAGATCCTGATCCCACCATCCAACCCTGCTCTCACTGGCTCCTGGCCGTTCTCCCGTCGCCCTGACCTCGCAGAGCCCCGACCCTGTTACCTCCGCCCGGCTTGTTCCTTGGCCTCATGGCAACGACACTGGGCAGAAGGTGGCAAATGGACCATGGGGGCAGACGGGTTATGCTCTCCCAAAAGGTCACCAACTCCTGGCTGGCAACCTGCCTGGCAGCCCCGCCCTGGCAGTGTCTGGTTGGGGCTGGAGAGGCCACGTCGGGAGTCTGGCCATCTCCACCAAGGCCTCGTTCTGCACAGAGAATGGAGCTCCATTGGAAGCTTCCTGACCAAGGCTGTGGAGGGGTGCCCAGCAGGGCAGGGCAGCTGCCCATGCCCGGAACCCCTGGAGGGCCACTAGGTGGTGGCGAGGAGATGGACCAGCTTCCCCTTGTCGCTGCTGGCCATCCGGGCTCTGCGGCCCACCGGCCCCCTCCCCCACAGCTCATCAGGCCGGGATTGTGGCTGGAGCGTGGGCATGGCATGGCAGCGCTGTCTGCCACTTTAAGGGGAGTGGCCATGAGGGAAACGCCCACTGCAGGACTCTGGGCGAACAAAGGATGGCCCGCTAGGCAGGGACCGGAGCTGTGCCTGCCTGCCTGCTCTCCCAACCAGGCATCCCGCTTGCTTCTTTCAGAGCTGGCCTGGCTGCAGCCGCCAAAGCACCACCCGCCTTGCCCAGAGTCGTCCCCGGCCGCCACCTCGAGCTTGCCACCAGGGCTGAAGCTGAGAAGAGGCAAAGATCTGCGCTACGCCGAAAACGGCCATTTGCTGTGAGGCGGGAAACGGCGGGTTTCAGTGTGGTGCGGTTGTCTGCCTCCGGCTAGAGGCAAACAGCCAGCAAATGGCCAGGTTTGGTGTGATGCGGATCTTTGCTTCCTCTCAGCCTTAGCCCTGGTGGTGTGCTCGCTCCCGCAGCGGAGGGGTCGAGGTGGCGGCTGGGGGCGGCTCCGGGCAATGCAAGTGGTATTTTGCAGCCTTGGTCAGGAAGCCTCCAATAGGGCTCTGTCCTCCATGTAGAACAAGGCCTCGGTGGCGATGGCCGGACCCCCAGCATGGCCTCTCCGCCTCCAACCCAACCAGGCGCTAACAGGGCGGGGCTGCCGGGCAGGTTGCCAGCCAGGAATTGGCCTTTTGGGAGAGCAGAACCTCCGTCCACCCCATGGCCCAGGAGGCCAGCGCCTTCTGACCTGGGGCGAGGTGGTCACAGCTGGCCTTTGACTCCCAGGGGCCGCAAGGGTGGCCCACAGCATGGTGAGTAGCAGCCTGCCCTGGCAGGAGGAGGGAAGATTGGTGCCCCAAGGAATAGAAAGAGTGGAGCGAATGGTCCCCTAAGCCCTGGCCAAGCAGTCGAACGGATCGCCCTGCTGCTGCCATTCTCCCCTGCATGGATCGTCATGCCGTCACAGCCATTCCCCTCTACCTGCCACACCATCTCGCCGCCGCCGTTTCCCTCCCCTGGACAGATCGCTGTACCACTGCTGCCATTTCCCCACCACCACCTACTGCATGGATCACCCTCCCTTCCGGAGCTTGAATCCATGTCCATGGGGCGATTTTGCGATGCCCCAGCGGCCCAATCCAAGCTCCAGAGGCTTGGAAAATGCCTCTGCCTCCTGGATTGGCCGGGAGGGTGACAAATTGCTCAGCAGGCTTACCTAGACTCACACTGGCAGCTGCCTCCACCATCCAGCCCAGATCCGCCCAGCTCTTGCAGCTGCTCTGACTCAAGAGTGCAGAGAGAGAGAGAGCGAGAGCAAGAGCACAGGCGTATGTGGAGAGGCGGAGGAGAGCAGCCTGGCCCTGCCTCCCGTGCCCAAACAGGGACGGCTCCGCGTGCCTCCTGTGGTACACGTGCCTCCTGTGGCATGCGTGCCATAGGTTCACCACCACAGTCATATGGGTTGACGAGCTGAAATTCTTGTCTTCTGCATTTTTCATGGAATCACTCAAAAAGTGTTTCTGACACAATCAGAAGGCTGTAAAGAAATTTATTTTCTTAAAGTGTTTTATGACTTATTTTCATTTTACATGCAGGCTTTGCAAATAAGCATTTATCCCTTTTTTGGATTGGTTGTAATCAATTCCATTATTTTACAATGTTTAAAGCAACTTTATTTTTTTACAGCTTTGATAAAATGTGGTAATTTAGTTGTTGCAGTTTGATGTATCATTTTTCCTTCTATAACCAAGAAGCGTCCTGCTGTGGAGCCCTGCAATATTTTTAATCAGTATTCTTCTTAGAAATTCGTTTTTTGGTTTCTGGCCCCTGTACATCTTTTTCATATCCTAACATACGCTTTCTTTGTATTACATCCAGTATACATGCTACACAGAAAGTCCTACTTTAGTATAATTCATATCCACAGAGATTGATTATTAGTGCTATGATTACATTTGGAAGAGAAAGTGACGCTTATGAGTAATATCCTTCAATGTTAATGTTAAATTTTCTTAATACTAACAACTGTATTGAAAAGTAAACCATGTCATGATTGTCTGCTTAAATTTGTCTAAATTTTATATTAAAATGTACTTTTTACCTTGAATTTACAGAAATGGACCTGTATAAAAAGTTAGGGTTGAAGCTTGCCCTCTTGTGTTCTGGTTCATATCAGAAATATTATTATATAGAACAGTTGTGAGAGTCAGGGCCTCTTAATGGCTCTAATGAATAATATACTCTCACTTTACTGGTGTCCCATGACTGTGATAGACACAAATTTGAACAATGTTCTTGAAGAAAGGAACATTTGAAAACTGGAGAACATGCAATATTATAGATAACCATGAGTACAGGAATAAGCATTTCTAATATTTCTCTTTTTAAATCCTAGCTTGCACTGGTGACCTGGAGGGACTGTTTGTTCAGGCCACTAAATAAGCAGGTAATATTTCTATTGATAGATATATTGGCTTGGCTTTGTGTGTGTGTGTGTATGTGTGCAAATGTAGCAAAAATAGTATTAGTGGAGAAGGACTATGACGTGATTTTTAAAAATTTATTCCAATCTCAATCTGCCTAGAAAAATTATGAATAGAATAAAAATTTGTTTATTGTATCATTATGGGCTGTAACTAATTTAAAACCAAATTTGAGAATTTGGTGAATGGTAATATGATGAAAAATAAATTATTATTCTGTGTATAACTGAGATAGATTTCATTATACATTTATTGCCTATGATTTAATACTGAAAATTATTCATTCATTTTATCTCTATTTTAAAAAATAATTTAAATAAAAAGTATGGGGATGGAGAAACATTAGCAGCTAAATAAATTAGAGATGAAATAATTAAAAAGATCATAAAGTTTAACATGAGAGAGCCACATTGTCAACTTTAAAAATGAGCATGGCTGTGGCCATCTTCCTTATTCATTTTTGATTGACACATTGAAAGGAGGGAGGGGGGATTGCCAGTGCTTTGCTAGTCTAAATAAACTTTTGTCCTGTGGGAACCAAGGTCATTGGCTGCTCCCAAAACTGCAGGCTGGGCGTTTCGTGAAAAGCCCGCCAAAAAGATATATTGGGGAACGTAGTTGCTTGCATAGCCTTAGGGGTGGGATTTCTTAACTTTGTATTGGGGAATTGTTACATGTATCTTCAGACTTGGCTTCACTTTTCATGTGCTGATTATTTGTAACTAATAAACATGTTCTTTGAGGAAGTTCCAAGCCTCGGAGTTCTGCTTTATTTGTCCCTGTCTATCGGAACCATGACAGAATGATGATACTATCTGCTGGTGATACAGAATATATGTTAATTTCTAAAACTGCTATAGTGTGGAATACTTGGGGCAGGGGTGGGGGAGACAATTTGAATTGTTTGCCTCAGGCATCTAATGGAGCTACTTGGTTTCCAGAAGGTTCTTCGTTTACTAGAAGTTTGGAGAGCAGTTCAATTTAGATCCAAGCCAATCTCTAAAACCTTGAGAGGATTGCTCCTGAACAACTTCTTTGTTTAGTAATCTTAGTGATTCATTGATTCTCTGAGGAGTTCCAGGATATGAAATACCACAAGAAATGTCCAGTGCACTGTTAGTGAAAGACAGAAGAATCTTCCTAGACATTGATATGAATACTAAGTCTGGGTAGCATGCTAAGTGTGCAAGAGAAACTTTCCTTAATACAATCATTGAATCCTATATGAACAACCTTTTTAAAGGTAATCCAAATCTTATAGATAAGGACAGGCTGCAAATACTGATATTCAAATACAATGAAATATCAGCTGAGTTACTTTTCAGATAAAATGTCAGGACCCACTTCAAAACCTCATCCCAAGAAAGCAGGACTCTTGGAGCAGTTTCATTCCAAAAGGAACTTTGAGTATACAGTGATGCCGTTTCGGCTGACCAACCCCCCTGCAGTTTTTCAACACTTCATGAACGACATATTCTGGGATCTGTTAGATCAGTTTGTCGTGATTTATTTGGATGACATTCTGATTTATTCCCCTTCGCGGAAGACGTACCATCAGCATCTATGTCAGGTCCTGCAACGGCTCCGAGATCATCATTTGTATGCCAAACTGGAGAAATGCCAATTCTATCAAATAACCATTGATTTCCTAGGTCATCGTATTTCTCCTGAGGGCATCGCCATGGAGCCGAGCAAGTTCGAGTCTCTGCGTAGTTGGCAACCCCCACATTGCGTTAAAGATGTCCAGCGATACTTTTCAACTGTAGCTTCCACTAAAAAAAAAAAAAAGGATTTTTCTTCAGCTATTGTTAAAATGGAGAAGCCTCAATCACATTTAAACTGTAAACTTATACTGGAAAAGTTCTATGAGGCCAAAGAAGAAATGTGTACTACAATAAAAGAGTTTACTACAGAATTAAGAGCCAGGATTCCTACTTTAAACTTTAAAACTGACTTTCAGATTACACCTGACTAGAAAGCAAATTATACAAGATGAAGACTTAACTGATAATAAAGAGAATTCTATCTTGCCCTATAAGCAATTCACCTATGGTTTTGAGGACCAGGAAAAGCAAAAACTGAGTTTTGAACTTCTGAAGCAACGTGGCCTTATGGACAAGAGAAACAGAGCCAATGCAGAGATCAAGATGGTTTTTATTGAATCAAAAGACACTACAAGCAACAAAAAGAGATTCATCAGCTGGAAGAGAAGCTTTGCTATGGAAATCTGCCTGGCAGAAGAGGAAAGCTAGAATAAGATTGAAAAATGAAATTTGAAATCTCAGGCATTGGACTAAAGGCAACCTAGAATTATGGACTGATGTAAGGATTAAGATTATGAGTTTGAAGTAAAAAGATGTTTCAGACTTGGATTGAATTAATAATTAATTGAATGTTAATCAAATAAGATGACTTGTTTATTTTATAATAGGGATGTTCTGAGCTATGATAACTAACTGGATGAAATTTGAATTCTGTTCAATGGATTGAAATGATTTAAGGTTGGACACTATTCGGTTAGCCCAGGGGTAGGCAACCCAAAACACTTAAAGAGCCACTTGGACCCGTTTCCCACCAAAAACAAAACACTGGGAGCCGCAAAACCCTTTTGATATCTAAAATGAAGATAACACTGCATATATCCTTTTTTACCTTTATTATAGGTGTGTGTGTGTTTGTGTGTGTATGTATGTGTGTGTGTGTATATATATGTATATGTATGTATGTATGTGTATATATATATATATACACACACACATACACACATACACATACACACACACACATACACATACACACACAGGTAAAAAAAGGATATATGCAGTGTTATCTTCATTTTAGATGTCAAAAGGGTCTCTCTCTCTGTCTCTCTCTCTCCCTCCCTATCTGCCCTTGGTCTGCCACTCCTCTTTCCCCGCTCTCTTTCTTTCTCTCTCTCTTTCCTCTCTCTCTCTCTCCCTCCCTCTCTCTCTTTCTCCCCCCCCCCTCCTATCTGCTGCTCACCTGGCAAGCTTCAAGCTGTTGTCCAACAAGCTTAGGGGTGAGCAACCTCGTCTCTTTTATGACTCATGGACTTCAACTCCCAGAATTCCTGAGTCAGCCTAGCTGGGCTAGCTAGCTCTCTCCTGCCCTTCCTGCTTCCTGCAGAGACGCAGCAAAGGGAGGAGCTCCGCCCAGAAAGCTTTTCAGCTCCTCGGAGAATACTGTGAATGCACTCTCTTTTACACACACAGACACACACACACACACACACACACACACACACACAGAGAGAGAGAGAGAGAGAGAGAGAGAGAGAGAGAGAGAGAGAGAGAGAAGTAGGGAAGCGCAATTGCCTCTCCCTGTCTCTGTCTCTCTCTGCAAAGGCAGAGGAGGCTGGGAGCCACAGGGGAAGGCTCAAAGAGCCGCATGCGGCTCTGGAGCCGCAGGTTGCCGACCTGTGGGTTAGCCTAAAGAGATTAATTAATTGATGGATTAGACATGTATAGGATAGATAGATAGATAGACAGACAGACAGACAGACACATTTAGATATGTGTAGAACAGATCGATATTTTTGTTTAAAAATGAGATATTTTTTAATATAATGGATTAAAGGTAATCAAGAATATTAAGAATGTATTTTTTTTAGAATGTTAGGTTCTTTTGTATGAAAATTATTAGGTAATGGAATGAAGAAAGTTAAAGAGATGTTTTAGAGTTGAATTAATTAATTGAAATCTAATAAGATGATGTGATTCTTTGATGACATGGATGTTATTAGCTGGATGAGATTTGAATTCTGATTAATGAATTGAAATGATTTAAGGTCTAATATTATCTTGTCAGCTTAGAGATTGATTAATTGAGGGATTAGATAGGTATAGGATAGATTAATATTTTATTTTAAATAGGGGAGATTAGTGGAAGAAGAAATAAATAAGAATTTGATAAAATTAAGAAAGTAGAACATATTTGGAAGGGATATCTGAATTGAAAATGTTTTTATTTAAAGTTAATTTGATTGCGGTATTGTAAATTTATAAACCTTTAAAACAGGCTCAGGTTGGATAAATTTAAGCTAGAATTGGATATTTTAAATATACTATGCTATTAGAGGGGAAAAGAGAGGAAATACTTGATCTATTGACTGTACTATGTATATATGTTTTGTTCTAGGATGTTTGATTACCCCAGCACCACGGTGTGTCCTGAATACTTTGTTCTAAATTTTTTTTAAAAAAAAAAACAGTAAAATTTGTTTAAAAAAAAAGATGTCCAGCGACTCCTTGGGTTTGCCAACTACTATAAAACCTTCATCCCCGGTTTTGCTTCCCTGACTGCGCCCCTCACTCGGCTCCTGCAGAAAAAGACCCAGTTTCATTGGGATACTCCAGAGCAATAGGCTTTCCAGGCTTTAAAGGAAGCCTTCATGAAGGAACCCATCTTGAAACATCCTGACCTGCAACGGCCATTTGTCGTGGAAGCAGATGCCTTCAACATTGCCATTGGAATGGTGTTACTCCAGGCTAATGCGCCCAGTGGTGCCCTCTTCCTTTGCGCATACTATTCGTGGAAACAATCCTGCCTAGCGCAACTACACCATCTGGAGAAGGAGCTATTGGCCATCAAAATGGCATTTGAGGCCTGGAGGCATTATTTGGAAGGAGTTCGGCATCAAATTGAAGTCTGGATGGACCACAAGAATCAGGAAAGCTTGCAAACTGCCCGGAAATTGAACCAACAACAGATTTGGTGGTCTCTCTTCTTTGCTAAGTTCAATTTCTGCATTACCTGCATACCAAGCGGTCGCAACCAAAGAGAGGATGCTCTGTCAAGCCAGAATATTCCCGTACAGAAGACAAGCTTCTGCCCAGGACAGTTCTCCCCACAGAATCTTTCTCTGGAGTTTGGGAGCCAATAGATGTATGGGCTCGGATTCAGGAGGCACAACAGCATGATGCGTGAGTGGCTCAATGAAGGG